TCTTTAATAAAATTTTAAGTATTTTTATTGGCAAAATTATATACAAAGTACTTCGAATAACAAAAACCTTTACAATAATTTTTAAAAATTAAATCACATACAAATTCATTTCATAACCAAGCAGACTTCCTAGTAAAACAAGGAACTTCCAAACTCATTCTTGAACTATTACTGCTAAATACTCGAACTTACTTTCTATAGAATAATTATCTTATACTATTCAAAATTCGTAACTTTATTAAAAATACTATTATAATTTAAGAACTTTCTTCTTAGTTTACACTTAAATCTTTCAAAATATCTCAAAACCTAACTGGGCTCTTAACTTTCAAATAATCAAATCCATAAAACATGACACTCAAAAATACTCTTTTCATATCAAAATTCTTACAAATAATCTGCCTATTATAGAAATTCTTAATATACATTATTCTTATCTCTATATAACAACAACATGTTCTCGATATACAAATCTTGAAGACACACTTCACCTCTTTCTCTGTGCAGGCAATAATATTAATATAAACCAAGCAATTCTCAATATAATCCAATCAATACTCACCTCACTTCAAATATTTAACAGTCTTGCATTCTTCATTTTTAATATTATCTCAAACTTTACAGCCAACTACACTAATCCTATTTACCAATCTATCTTATATACCATATCTGATACTTTTTCTATAACTATCTACAATAATATCAAACTTCTTTTAAACAAATAAACAAACATTTTTTTGACTAATTTAGCCAACAATCTTCTCACTTGGTACTATCAAGACTTATGGTTTACATGCAACATATCTCAACATCAATGAAAACTTGCTCGGAATATAACTACTAAAACTAAACATACAAAAATTCACTTTCTAACAATATCTACTTCTACTAACAACCTCCTAGGAACTATACAAACTTCTAATACCACAGTAGCAATTAACAAATAACTCTTTTAAGGTTTTACTCTAACCACATGCTTTATATAATATCTTGACTCTTACCTAAGATTTCCTCTAACCTATCCTAGCTAGAAAATAATTTAAAACAATTATCTATAGCATTCATTAGGAAATAGGAGATGTAATATCACATTGGATGTCTATTTTTTAGCAATACAAATGTAGTTTAGAAATCTTTATTTTAGGAAATTTTTTCTGTAATTAAATTTCTTATTGTATTTTAAAGTTTCTACTATGATATTATATAAATAAAAAAAAAAAAAAAAAAAAAAAATATGATCTTATACATACAAAATTCAGGTATTATTAAAAATATCTAAAGTTTTATTAAATTTTATAATTTGTTGATATGAGCAACCATTTAAATACCAATTAATAAATAATTTTGTTTACATGTTTTATAATACTTCTTTTAAAAACCTAATAGACTTAACTTTCTATAAATAAGAGTAAATTTGACAGACAAATTAGTGCTTTTGCTTCACCTTTTTTGAATTCTGTGAATCCTACAACTTTTTTTTATAACCTGATTGGCTGATTCAAGATATGAAAACATCTACTAAATTTGTTGGGTTATATTGGATGGGTTTGGGCTGGGCCTAATTTTTAATTCAACCCAACCCGATTAATTCTTTGAGGGTTTTTTTTATTGGCAAGGTTTGGATTTATAAACATTTTTTGGGTTTGAGTATAGGTTCTTGTCAAGCCTAACCAACACGCCCATTTCACACCCTACTCTGAATTTAGGTGTATTTTAAAATTCGACCTAAAATCAGACTCCGAATTTAGGTTGAATTTTCAAATTAACAAATCAGTTACTGATTTTAGGCTAATTGGTATTTTTTAGGTCGAATATAGGTCGAATATAGGTCGATTTTTTTGGCCGATTCGACATGAATTCGACCAAAAAAATAAAATTCGACCAGATTTTTAGTCGAATTTTCGGCTAGTGACGTACAAAGTTAAAATTTTTTTCCATGAATTTTGGCCTATACGAACATGCTGCCACGCAAATGATCGATAAAGGTGTTCATATACACCAATCATAGCTAAATTTAAGTAATACAAAGTGGCAAGGATTTGACAGGGTGGCACAGATTTGATGTAGATGGTTCGCACCATACTCGCTATATACCAATCACGAGAAAGTAATCCTATAGCCACAATGGTCACAATGTCAATCAGCTACGTTTAGGGTGCTGACTAATTTGAGGGGCAAAATTGACAATGACATGCAGGGTCAACATCGGTATTTAATGTTTGTACGTACATAAGTATGTCTTGCGACCATATACAATTTCTGCTTATTTTTCTAGAAAGTAATATTTGTGGGAGACATGTCATCAATCGTTTTAGCTAATGCTTTATTAAGAGATATTAGTAAATGTTATGAAAATGCGGATGATTATGATGTGAATCTTTATGTTGGTCAAGAACCAGAAATCGAAGTTTTTCAAGCACATTCTTTTATCCTACGTGCTAGGTCTGCGTATTTTCGTGCCGCATTATCCACTAATTGGGTAAAAAAGGAAGATGATAAAATTTCCTTTCGAAAACCAAATATTTCGCCTAAATTGTTTAGACCCATTTTAAAGTGAATTGCAATTTCTTTTTCAATTTTTTTTTTTCAGAAACATTTATATCAACCATATAAGTTTCTAACATATTATACATATTATACAGATATATGTATACAAGTAATATAGAATTGGATATAAATACAGTGGATCGGCACGAATATTTCGAACTTATAGCAGCAGCAGATGAATTAACACTTACTGAATTAGTTGATCATATACAAGAACATATTATTTCAAATGAAAAAGGATGGTTGCTCGAAAATTTCGTTCAAGTCTTTCAAAAAATTTCCACATATGAAGCGATGCGTAGACTTCAAGATTATTGTGCGGAATTAATTTGCAATGATCCATCAGGTAAATTGATATTTCAACCAATTACGTTTAATAATGTCAATTACATTTAATAATTAAAAATTAAATTGTCAAATTTTAGTCGTTTTTACGTCAGATTTTGGATCACTTGAAGAGCCTGCCTTATTAGCTTTATTACAACGGGATGATCTTGTAATGGACGAGATTGATATTTGGGAATGGTAATGGTATATATTATTATTTAAATTTACGTTGATTTTCATAATAAAAAAAATGCTTTATTTTTTAGTGTTATCAAATGGGGACTTGCCAAGAATAAAATGATTGATCCGGATGTAGCAAAATGGACGCAGCGAGACTTTGAAGCAATGGAAAGAACACTTCGCAACTGTATACAATGTATTAGATTCTTTCAAATTCCAGCACACGAATATTTTTATAAAGTTCGGCCGTATAAAAAAATATTACCCCGAAACCTTAAGGAAGATCTTCAACTTTTTTATATTGTTCCAATGGGACAACCTAAGTTTACACCCGTATTACCACCTCGAATGGGTCTAAGACCGGATTCAATTATAATAACATCACAACATGCAGCAATTATTGCAAACTGGATCTATAATAGGCCTAGAGATACTTACAAACCTCATGACATACCATATCATTTTAAATTGTTAATCCGTGGTAGTCGTGATGGCTTTACACAGGAGGAATTTCATAAACGTTGCGATCATAAAGGAGCAAACGTTGTTGTTGCTAAGGTAGAAGGAACAAATATAGTTGTTGGTGGGTACAACCCCCTCGGATGGACATCAGCTAATGATTGGAGACAGACAACAGAAAGTTTTATATTTTCATTGGACAAGCAACATAAGACAACAATAATGAGCCGAGTGAGAAATCCTAATTGTGCTATCCGGGACACAGTTTCAAAGCAATGGATCGGGTTTGGGGTAGGCGATCTTCATTTTCTTGATGGGACATGTAGTCCAAATGATTATGAAGCAAAAATTTTGGACTCAACGAGATACGTTGTTGAAGATTATGAAGTCTTTCAGATATTGAATAAAGTTAAACCGGGTAATAGTATAAAAGATAGACCATCAAAACCAGCTTCTATTTTTGGATTCATGTGATTAAGACAAATTTGGAATCATACATGTACGTATTTTTGCACGATGGCAATATTAGATCTGTCATATAGTTGCGAATTTTTTAGTAATGTATTATTAATTTTTTTTTTTGAAGTTTCTTATATTTGCTTTTTATACATTCTACCGCTATTTATCCATTGAAATTTTGCGTAAACTACCAATATTAAATATTATCATTTGGATGAGATGCCATTTTTTTTCATATTATGACGTCTAATTTCTTTTTCAAAGGAGGTAGTATAATAATCAAATGTTGAAGGTTAACACGATGAACAATTTTTTATAATTTTTTTTAAAAAAAATAGATACGATGAAGATGATGGTAAAAAAAAAAGAAAAAAAGTCATTCCTAGTTTTATTTGCTTTCGAGCATATGCACATTAAATGAATAGATTTAATTAAAATAGAACCATGGTTTATAATTTCTGACGCATTATTTAGGATTTGATTTCGTTCATATCTCTTATATTACATTCATTCATTTCATTTTTGTTTAAATATTTTCGTAATAGATTTATCCTTTTACATGATGTTAAGAGTGACATTTACACAAACATTATTAAATAATATAATAATAATAGAGAATCTTTATCGTGTCGTAAGTTCCTGTATTAAACACTTATGTCAATCTATATTTACATGTACTATACTGATTATAAAGCTCATACTTGTTAATTGTTAGTATGAATAAATATTTGAAACATAAAGATGTCCTTGAATCCGTAGACTTTGAATTACATATTTGTAAATTAGTACTTAAGCATAAAAATAGGTAACGCCTATTTCCACCATTGAACATGATTTATCATAACAATATATTCGTCATGTTTATGTAGCTGAAGTCGTGTGAAAAGCAATGGTGTAAATAGGAGTTCCCTAAAAATAATACTGGCTTCATCATTTCATTAACGTTATAAAATCTTTTATTTATAATTTTTTTCCAACGAAAGTCCGTGTTAAATAAATGAACAAAATAAAAACTTAATGTCAATTATGGATGGTCAAACTAATCAGAATCAATTCAAAGATATATTAAATGATGAAAATATATTGACCAGAATCAATGACATTAAAAAAGCTTCGTGTATTATCATTTAAGTTGTCAGCAATGTGAATGAGAACACGCTTATACTTGAATATGTATATCTTGAATATATACATTCTTATGCAAATAATTGCCGCTGCTGATGCGGAAATTTGGGGTCGTGATTTGAAAATATAAGCACTGCTAAAATCCACATATACTCTTTATCAATTCTAACCCGAAACAAAAAAAAAAGTGGGGAAAAATACCCCAAAATTTCATATCCAAATAGGCCCAAATTTCAGCATCAGCCGCAACACAATTACTTATAACCAAATCTCGGATTACGCGATAACCCCAAGCCTCTACAAAAACTTATGAAGGCTTACTGCAAGAAGGAAGATAAGGAGTTTAGTGAATTAAGATTTCTTTACAATAGAGTGCGATTGCAGTCAAAAATTAAGGTAATTAATTTAATTAAATAATTTTACTTGGGACTGTATCGATGTAATTATGGAACAGTATAGTATAACAAAAATATTGATTTGCGTTCGAACAATATCGTAAAGTTTTGGTTATAAGCGTGGATTTTTGTTCGCAAATCTCATCAAGATTGGATTGATATCCTATTTAGACTAGAACATAGTGTTGATATTAATCGAAGCATTAAAGTATATATAAATCCTGAAAATATATACCAACAGTCTAAAAATTGACATGATGCATCATTTAAATCGCTTCCAAAATATCTAAATGTTAAAATTTGGTTCTTTTTAATTTCATTGTAAATTTATTATCGCTATCTATAATAATAAAGATAATGATTACTAAATACCGGCTAATAACCTGCTTCATTTTTTACTAAATCAAACCCGCATTTAACGTTAAATTTGACTTTTTTTAATTGTTTAGAGATAATCGTGTGATACGTCAATCATCCATTTTAGGATCACGAGTAATGATGTTACGATACACCGAATGCAGTAATTTAAAATATTTAATAGTACATATATCATGCTTAACTCGCTTAATCCCAAAACCCATGTTTGAACAATGATATGTGTCATGAAAGTATAAAGTATTCAATTATTAACTTAAAAATTTTTGTATTTTATATAGCGGCTCACTATATTCTTTGTCTGTTGTCATTCTTCGCATATTCATCCTTCTCCGAAATATATAACCCTTTTTTAAAATGTTAAGAAAACAATGGCTGGACGATGCAATGAAAAATGACCACATAAGGTCAATAAAATTCGATGATTTTTATGATCTTAGTTCCGTTGCGCGAGGTGCATTCGGTGTGGTTTGGAAGGCATCCTGGAAAAATGGCGAAAAGTATGTTGCTTTAAAAACTCTACTTGATAATCCCGCTGCCGGAGCTGAAGAATCATTCGAAAATTTTGTTCGTGAGGTATTTATATTTGGTATTTGATTTGTTCCTTGCAACATGTTATATAAATTATAAGCTATATCTCATTCATTTTAATTATAAAAATATAGCTCAAATTTATCAGACATTTAGATTTCTGCGATTATATTATTCGATTTTATGGTATTAGTTATGGTGAGTTCTTTTTCACCCTTCCATAGCATTAAATATTTCTATGCTGAAAATTTATTTATATAAAAAGATCCAACTACATCTCGATATTACATGGTAATGCAGTATGCTGATGGTGGAAATCTTAGAGATTTCCTTCGTCATAATTTTAAAAAACTTGACTGGATAACTAAAATTTCAATGGGAAAACACATTGCTAGCGGCCTTAACGCTATTCATTCGCAAGATATTTTGCATAGAGATTTAGTAAGGATTTTTTTTTTTTTTTCAATTGAAAAAAAAATATATTTTTTTTAATTTTCAATTTTACCTATAGCATTCAAAAAATATAATGGTTCATGATGGTAAACTTATGATCACTGATTTTGGATTATCAAAATCAAGTCTTGCTGCTACAAATTCCGCTGTAGCAGGGATGGCTGCATATGTGGAACCAAATTGTTTCAAAGAACCAAAATACCAACGAAACAAAGCTTCAGATATCTATAGCTTAGGAGTATTACTCTGGGAAATATCTAGTGGTTACCCTCCTTTCAAAGATCTGAATGTAATAGAAATAGCTGGTAAAGTGGTTAAATTTGAAAGAGAACTTCCAATTCTTGGGACACCAACTGAATATCAAGAACTTTATCAAGAAGCTTGGAGACATGATCCGCAAAAACGTCCGGATCTCGATAATATTCGTAAAAGACTTGATAATATGTTATGGGCACAGAATGTAGATCCCTCGCGCCAGACTTGTCTAGATGCGCTAAAGGTCACTGTTAACCAAAAACCTGTAAATGTAAATCAAAACAATGGTACTCCAATTGTGCCACCATTAAGTCAAATTAATGCGAATATGGCTGGAATATCTATAAATAATCAAAATCGATTGGGCATGAATAATAACATTAATGCACATAGACCACCTGAACGACCGGGACCGGGAACAAATTTAAATCATTTAAATAATTTTGATCAGATGAACAATCAACCTAATCCCCAAATGCGTTTTGTTGGTCAACCTCCAACGCCAGTTGCCAATCAAAATCCGAATTTTGTTGGCCGAATGCCAACTAATAATCCTCAAAACCCGAACTTTCCCAGTCAAATTCCAAGTAATGTTCCGAGCTTTGTAAGACCAAACCCAATACCTGCTCAGAGAATTCCAGGTCAAAATCCAATACCAGCTAATGGTATGGTTCAGAACTTTAACAACCAAACTACAACGCCGGTTAATAATTTTGCTGATAAAAAACATTTACCGAATGCTTTTGGACAATACCAAGTGCCTACTTTTACTCGACCACCGCAACAACCAATTGTTAATAACTTGGGTCCAAATTTTGTCCAACGACCAATTATTGATAACCGACCACTAACTTTTCCACAGATAAATCAAAATCCCGTTACTCATAATATTCCTCCTACGCATTCTGCTCCGGTTCTACATATGGGAAATCAACAATTCTCTAACATTCATCAAAATGGAGGTCAACAAATCAACCAAGGAATTAATACACCATTTGGCCCAAATATCAGAACTTTTCCAGGTGGAAATCCAACCGGAAATGCGCAAAGAATAAATCCACAAATTCAACCAAATACACTTACTCAACCTATCCAAAATATTTCTCCAAGGATTTCTCCAAGAATTTCTCCAAACATTCTTCCTCGAAACGGTGTTAGTCCACATATAGCTACAAACGTCATACCAAATGGTGTTTCAAATATTAATCTAAACTCTAGTGGACAAAATGCACCAGGTTTCCAAGAACATCGTGTTAATAACAAAATATCACCGAATCCTGTTGTACAAAATGCGCCAGGTTTCCCAACTCCACCAAATTCTGGTGGACCAAATGTACAACGTCATCAAAGTCCTACTACGGCACCAAATTCCGGTGTGCAAACACCGCAATCTTTAAGTTTAAATTTTGGTGCTCCCTCTCCCGATGGTAATACTACCTCTATTACCAGCATTATTGAAGTAAGTATTAAGTTATTACTTATTTATCTCAAATCTTTTTATAATATATATTCACGAATTTGGTTATCTTTTTATAGTGTCCGCAAATAAAGCAATGTCATGATGTTAAAGAAAGATATAGGAAAGATTATGGAACTGTTCTAGGCTATGAAGATTCCAAGGAATGTCACGCCGGCTTTCACGCAGGATTTGGTGACGTTGAGGGATTGCGTCATCATTTCATCCATGGTGCAAAAGTTAATGGAATCTCTCGTTTCTTAAATACCAGGGAACATCTAGTAATAGTCGCCGCAAAATATTGTAGTAGAAGAAAACTGATCGAAATATTTAAAGTTTTAAAAGAATATAAAGCGAACTTCAGATGTGCTTCAAATATCAGTGGAAAAACGGCATTACATCATTTATATGAGAACCAATCTTTAACCAGAGATATCAATGATCCTAAAGGATTACAAAAGTTTCATAAATATATGAAAGAAGCAATAGAGTTTTTAGTAGCTAATGGATGTAATATTAATGCTATGGACAATAGTAGACAAACAATATTATCATACTATTTATGTGATAAATTTAGACACAGAGAATTCGCACCAATTGTTATAATGTTACTAAAAAACGGGGCAGACCCAAATATTCCGTTAAAAACCACGGTATTACAGCCATATAATGCACCGAATGCATTGTATTTAGCTGTAAAAATTGGGTGGCCAATTGAGGTTCTTGATGTACTGTTGAGCAAAGGAGCAAGAGGTGACGTAAAAGATGAGAATGGTGATAATCTATTAGTATTAGCTGCTAGAGAAAAACAATCCGCTACAATTGATTGGATATTAGAGACAATTCCTGAAGCTAGTACTAGAGATTGTATAGAAGCTGCTATGAAACTCTCGGATAAAAAAGACAGAAGTAAACTTTCTAAATGGAAAGGATCTGAAGGAGCGAGTAGACGACGTCTTGTTCAAGAAAATTTAGAACTTAAGAGGCAGTTGAGAACGGAAACTGAATCTACAAAAGAAACGAACTATGAAAGTCCATCTGATTAAAAAATTTTTAGGAATTTAAAAAAAAAACGTTAAATGTGTTTTAAAAAAAAAACTATTGATTTACGTCAACGTGTATTATTTATGCATTTTTTGTTTTTCATATTTAAGAGAATTTTAGACAATATTTTATATACTCTTGATTTTAATGTTTATCGCACGAAAAATAACTTTATAAACTTGTTGCAAAATTAGTTTTTAAGATACAATCAATGCCCTAGGCGTCAACAACTTAAAAAATTTCGCTAAAAATTTCGCTTTCAAATTAGGGTTAGGGTTTGCTATTAAGTTAAGTTAAAAAGAGCCTTCCCAATATCAAAATTTCGCAAAGAAAACTTTTTGTTAATGCGCAGAAAGCAGTTTCATAGGTAAAATGTTGTGTTGTAAACGATTTTTTGGTTTGGTTTGATTTTTTGCGTTTTTTTGTTACACCAGATCTTGAGATTTGCTGGCGAGATAGTGCGAATTTGTTAGGGTGGTGATGCTAGGGGTTACGCAAATTCTTATTAGGAAATCTGGCATGATATCAGAGCATGCCAAAGGCTCAAAGTTTATTAGTTAAATTGTATAAGAATATATTCACGTAATATAATTGGTTAAAAATATTCTATATAGAAGAAGTTTTTTTATTTGATAAAATCAAAATTGATTACTTTTGTAAATTTGACTATTTGAATTTTAAGATTAGGTGTAACATAAAAATTAAAATTGAAGTGTGGTGACTTAGTGAAGTGGATAAGTTAACCTTTCAAGTGGCAGGTTGCAAGTTCAAAACCTACTAATAACAAAATTTGAAATTTTATTTGTATTATAGCAATTGTTTTCAATAATTGAATTAAGATATTTGTAATTATAATTACATTAGCATAACTGGCAGATTATAGAGCATTTGTGTAATTGGTTAAACAGAGAAATACAAATTAACATTAGGTAATGCAAACTTAAAATAAGTTTTTGTGATTGTATAAATCTATAAAAAATAAACAAAAAATCTATTTAAAAAAACTTGAGCAAAAAGGTAACATGAATTTTTAATGATACTATTGAAAGATTAATCTTATAATATAAATACTAATATGAAAAAACTAAATGGACAAGAATCTTAAATAAAAAGTATTATCAATCAGGATATTAGAATTAAATTGAAGAAAAAATATTAAATCAATATAATATATTAATAGATTGATCATAGTCTTATTTAATTATTTGAATTGGAAGTTTAAGAACAAAAGTTGAATATATTAAAGTATTTTGAATGTATTTTAAAATAGTAGTACAATAGTTTAATAATTAGTCTTAATTATAAGTATTAGTTCAGTTATAATAATATCAAATTAGTTATAAAATAAGTATACAGATGACTTTAAAAAGTTTATCTTAAGGATAAAATAGTCTTAAAGTTGAGACTAAATCTGGATATGATCTAATATAGTTAATATAATTTGCAGATTCAGAGAATTTAAAATAAAACATCTAAACAAGATATTAGATATAGCAATTGATAAGAAATTTTTGAGCAGATTTTTTAAATAAATAATATAGAAAGTTATATATAGTCAATTATATACTCTTTTTGTAATAGTTTTATATAAAATATATTACTAAAAGTATTAATAAAAATTAAAAAACTTAGAAATTATTATAAAAAAAATTAAATAAATAAAAATCAAAATGAACAAAAAACAGTATTTTAGATAGTATTATTAAAAGGTTTTGCTAAAAAATTTTTTGTATTATTTAGATTTTGTTTATATTTTTATTAGTATTTAAAATAGTTATATATATATATATTATAGTTAGTACTAATATATACAATTAGTACTAATTATTAAACTGCTAATTATATAGTTATTACTATTTATTTTTTTTTGGTATTAAGATAAGAGTTATTACTATTTATATAATATAAATAAATTAAAAATTATATGTAAAATAAAATAAAAATTAATTTATTTGTAATTTAAACTTACTAAAATAATTAAATCTTAAATAGACTTAAATAAATTTTTTTTAAAATTAAAGTTTCTATTTTTAAAAAATAATATTTTTATTTAAGTTTTGTAGAACACAGATGCCTCTAGGAACTTTCTTATATAGAAGATTACAACTAAGCATATATATATTTTTAATATCTAATTTAAGTAGTTTGTCTATACATTACTATACAAATTCTATACTAGATATCATATCTGTAAGCTAACTATAATTCTGGCCTATTTAAACTCTCTGTATATGTACTTTTCTTGTATTACAAAAACATCTTTAAAGTACAGTTTATTTAAGTTTCTAATACTTATTAATACTCTTAAAACTACTTTATTTTTAATAAATGACTTACTAAAGTCAGCTATGTTTTATATATAACTAATCTAATTTTATACAATATGTTATAGGTACTTAACATTTACAGTTATAGGAGTTACTTGTTTAACTGCTATATTATACTATTTCTATATTTATAAAGTTTACTAGAATTCTAATATTCATCTTTCTAATTTTTTTTCTATTATTATTTACTAACTGCTATTTAGATTTGACAAACTTTAACCAGACTACCAATCCAAATAGACTAGTATAATATACTTTATATATATTTTTTTTAATAGAATCTAGCAGTTTAGTTAATTATATGCTCCTTTATATATATTTTGCATTCATTTTATCTAATCTATTTTTTTTAGAAATAGTTTGTAAACTTCAACTAATCTGATAATATTATCAAATGTTTATGCTATTTTTTTACTTGGAAATTTTTAAATAAGTTGTCAATTTCTCAGTTTCTTAGTCTTCTATATTTGGTCTTATTATGAGTTTGTACTAAAGTCTTATATAATACTAGTTAGTAATATTCTTTTATATATATATAATATTACACTTTGCATAAATACTTCAAGCTTCTAATAATAAGTAAAACCTAACTTGGTATGTCTAAATTACAGCCACATGAGTTCAACTAATTAATAAAAAACAGTTATTATAATACAAATTAATTTCTAAATTTTATTTTAAGTAGAATTTGAATATTAGACCTATTACTTAAAAAATAACAATTTAACTACTACACTAAAATTACTACTTTTAATTTAAATATTTAGTATATAATTTAATAATATATTGTATTTAATTTATAAAATAAATTAAATATTAATTTTATAAATTGCTTAACTAATAGAAAGGCATATATTAAAATAAGTATATAATTAATTTAGAAGTTCACAAAGATATAAATAAGTATAATCTATTTAAGAATATATATAACTAGTAGTTGAATTAAATAGTATTGTAGATTAGTTGTTAAAATATGATTGAAGTTTGTTTTATTGCTTTTTTTAGTTAAAAAAATAAATATAATATATTTTTTATTTTTTATTTTTTTAAATATTAATGATAAGACTATGTCTTTAATTTGATTAAAATTTAAATAAAGTTTTTATAAAAAAGTTTGTTTTTAAATTACATATAAATAATAGAGACTTAGATATATAATTTAGGAAATTTCTATTTTGACCCAGGTTATTTTAATCTGTTACATGCCTCTGGGCTCTGATAGCCTACCTGGGTACCAGATATCTACTATTTCTAAAACTTATGTGATCGCTATTTTTGCAACCAAACCACATGACTACTGCTCGATAAGATCCAATCAAATTACAAGTTCAACTGAATCAATTTTGGTTTAAGCAAACAGAACCAAACCTATTATTTATATATATATAATACATGGTTTTGAATGGCTTACAACAGATGGTATGATAAAATGGTTTTTAATTTCCAGTTATTTAATCGATTTAAATTAAAAATTTTAAGGTTAATTTCATATGTTTTTTCACATGTTTTAAAATTATAATCGAAATGCACACATTAAAAACTTCAAATTAATATAGGTTTTAAACTTTGAAGTGTGTCATGTTTTACCTACTAAAAAATAAAAACTTTTGAGATCTGGCACCTAGATATTTAAATAATGTTTTTATTAGACAGTTTGCTCTTTAAGATGCTCTTTTTTATATATTGTACTTAACTTCAATTACATGCATACCATTCAAGTTTCATTTGAGTCAGGCAGCAACATATATTTGAATTCAAAGCAGAATTTGAATCTTGCAAATTTGAACTTATCAAATAAAGACCTATAAAAAGACAGTTTAATAAATAAGAATTCAAAAGTTAGCAATGAGTTTTAGTTGCATGATCTATTTAGTCATTATATATATATATCAAACAATTGCGTAATAAACATGCAATTATATAACTCATCTTACAGAAGTGCATAAGGTTGAACTAGAGATGTGATAGGGACTGTTATGTAACTAGGCTTTAGCAAGTTACAGCTTAAGTTGTAACAGTTTTTACTGCATCTTTGGACAGTAAACTTCACAGGTCTGGATAGTAAAACTCTTCATTCTGCTTCAGACAAATCATACTAATTAAAATTTTTTTTATGAAATTTTTAGACTTGATTCGTAATACATTCAAATACTTGTTTATATGTTTCATGTGTTATGCAAAACATAAGCACCTGATTAATGTGTACAATTAAATTAAAATCACATGCATAAGTTAAATGTTTGTCAACAAAAAGATTACTAATTAAATAACTGCAATAAAGAGTTTAAATTGATATACAAAGTTAAATAGTTTAAAATGATATATAAATTAATATTGATCCTATTATGTCATATATAGAAAAATAAAAAGTATAAATAGCTAGTTAGTTAGTTTATACGTATATTTTCTTGCTTTTTTACAACATTAATATAAGCTTTGAACAATTATCTATAAATATTGATTCTGATAATAATAAAGTGAACTTTAAAGCTAGTACTAGTCACAATGACAACCTCTTTGATAATAATAATAAACTGAATTTTAGTGTCGATATTAGTACTAGTCATAGTGGCAACTTATTTAATAATACTAAAATGAATTTTAGAAGTAACAATTCTTGCAATAATAATGAACTAAACTTTAGTATTGATATTGGTACTAGTTACAGTAGCGAT